GCAGCGACCGAAGCACTCGGAGGGTGACTAGCCCAGTGTCCGGTGGTCAAAATCGCAGGCAGGACGGGCAGCCCCTCTCCAACAGGGACGTTCAATTCCTTTCTCAGCATGGACCACGCCTGGAACCAATCTTCGCCAGCGATACCCTTGCGTGGACACACCATCGGCAGCAGCTGAGTTTTCCTCTCAGTGGTGTAAGATGTCTTGCTGCGTGCGATGTCGGCCTGAAGGTAGCCTCCAAGCCCAGACGGGTCGACCTGCGGCTTGTCCTCGCTGACATTGTACATGTTCTGTGTATCAGAATACCTGGCCCTCATAAAAATCGAGAGCAAGAAGAATCCAGCTATGAACCGATCAATGCGATCCCCATCGGGGGAAACTACAAACCTCTCAAGTCGCTGTACCATCTCAGTCGACAACGGTGGGCGCTGGACCCTCTTCCGCTTTGTCAAGTAGCATGCCCTGGCCACACCACTCAATCTCATGCTAGCCATCGCCTCCTGAGCGCTCTCCGATCCAAGAATGAAGAAACAAAAGGTCACCGCGCTCAGGAAGCTTTTGAGGAAACTCGGCGAGCATGTATGTTCGCACTCACAAGCAAACTCGTACATGTCATCCTCCTTGAATGGAAATGCCAAGACTGCATGCCTATCAGCCCATGCCACGTATCGTATGAGCGGATCAGCCCGACTGTGCAGAGTTCCAACTGCCTTGCCTGCGAACACATGTCGCAGCGACCTTGACACTTGGACCCCGACAGGTGCTAGTGACGTGACCTTCCGACCCACATCGAAAGACTGAGGGCTCCTGAGTACAAGAGCAGTCCACTTCCGAACGGCCGCCACCAGTCTCTTCTCAGTCTGGTTCTCCCAAGAAATATCATGACGTACACGAGAGAATCGATGTGCAAAAGAGACAGCCGGCTGTTTGGGAACCGGAACAGAAATGTTGCTGCTCACAGGAATGAGGGGTAGTGGCCCCCTTCCCAAAGGTACACTGAAATCAAGCAAGCTATTTCGAAATTCAGGTGTCTCCCAAGGCATCCTAAAAGCCGAGCCCTGAGAAGTTCGCAAACATGTGCTGAGATGAGCATCGTAAGCAGAGTCGCTGGCCGTCCTCTGCCTCTTTGCACTTTCTTCGGATGCCATCCTTCAAGTGCTGCAGGCCACCGCTCGCCCCTAAAACTCGGCCCAAGCACTAACGCAATGGTTTTGCCTCGGGCTGCGAATCAAGAGCAGGTTGGGCACAGAAGAAGCTAGCACGGATTTGCCAGCTTGCGTGAAGAATTTGCAGGCGCTCAACAGAAGAAAGGCAGGCCCAAATCAAGCTGGCAAGATCTCTCAGCTGAATTGTCCTGGCCAAAGCGGCCTGCATGGCTGGGCCCACCTCTAGTCGAGACCCATCTCCCACTCTTGAGCAGCAATGTAACACGACGTGGACATTTCACATGCTCTTCAAAGAAATTTCTTCTCTCAAGAAATCACTGCTCGAAAATACATTGCTTAAAGTGGGAGAGGCAGCACACGGGTTAGGGCATTAAGGTTTTTGAGTTTTCTTCGCTCGCCGCCACGGCGGCTCGTCACGAACGCAAAAAGGTACTAGCTGTCGTCGCAGGCTAGACAGCAAAGGTACAGACAAGAGCGAGGCTCCCAGAACTTTGGCTTTGCTTTTGTTCTTGGATTTCGGCCGAGACAAGAGCGAGGCTCCGAACCTCTCGGCCTACTTTCCAGAACTCTGGGCCGGAGCAAAGCGTACCTGCGGACAAGTTTCATGACACTTTGTTCAATGCCTCAGCTTTTTTTCTCCTTGGATTTCGGCCGAGACAAGAGCGAGGCTCCGATCCTCTCAGCCTAACTTAGACCTCGACCTGTCGTGTCAATCCCCCGGCGCTGTTTTTGTGACGCGGGCGGCCCCTGTATGGCACAACCGGAAATACTGGATACACATTGCCTGCGGCTCACGCTAATCCCTTCCCCACGCAAGCAATGGTCCTAAATGTCCATGCCGCACCTCAATTATTTTCTATTTTCAGTCCCCTCAGTTTCGAACGCCGGAAGCTTTGCAAAATTGCCGAGTTCGCTCCGAAGCGCGGGCGCTGTATTTTGTGACGTGGGAGGCCCCTGTATGGCACAACCGGAAATACTGGATACACATTGCCTGCGGCTCACGCTAATCCCTTCCCCACGCAAGCAATGGTCCTAAATGTCCATGCCGCACCTCAATTATTTTCTATTTTCAGTCCCCTCAGTTTCGAACGCCGGAAGCTTTGCAAAATTGCCGAGTTCGCTCCGAAGCGCGGGCGCTGTATTTTGTGACGTGGGCGGCCCCTGTATGGCACAACCGGAAATACTGGATACACATTGCCTGCGGCTCACACTAATACCTTCCCCTCGCAAGCAATGGTCCTAAATGTCCATGCCGCACCTCAATTATTTTCGATTTTCGGTCGCCTTCACCCTCAGGCCTCCACCCTTGACAAATTCATGAAGAACCTGTCATGTTTGTTGGGAACCACTGCAAAACACGCTGTAGCATACCTCTTGCAGAAGTCAGCCTCTGCAAAGCGGGGAGCTTTGTGACACTGGAGCTAAGACTATTTGATTGGTGATGCAGGAGCTATGATACAGTGACATAAGAGCTATGACTATATATTGTCACACAGGAAGTATATTTTGTGACACGGGAGCTATATTTATCTGACACAGGAGCTTGTTTTCTGTGAGGGCTATGTTTTGTGACACAGGAGCTTATTTTGTGACACAGGGCTATGTTTTGTGACACAGGAGCTTATTTTGTGACACAGGAGCTATGTTTTGTGACACAGGAGCTATGTTTTGTGACACAGGAGCTATATTTTGTGACACAGGAGCTATTTTTTGTGACACAGGGCTAGGTTTTGTGACACAGGAGCTTATTTTGTGACACGGACGGACTCCTCACGTCACAAAATCGCACGCCAGCCGGGGTCAGGAGGTCCTAGGAGCTATGTTTTGTGCCACAGGAGCTATATTTTGTGACCAGGAGTATATTTTGTGACACAGGGAGGTGACACAGGAGCGTGACACGGACGGAATCCTCACGTCACAAAATCGCAGGCCAAGCCGGGGTCAGGAGGTCATAGGAGCTATATTTTGTGACACAGGAGCTATATTTTGTGACACAGGAGCTATATTTTGTGACACAGGGCTATGTTTTGTGACACAGGAGCTTATTTTGTGACACGGACGGACTCCTCACGTCACAAAATCGCAGGCCAAGCCGGGGTCAGGAGGTCATAGGAGCTATATTTTGTGACACAGGAGATATGTTTTGTGACACAGGAACTATGTTTTGTGACACAGGGCTATGTTTTGTGACACAGGAGCTTATTTTGTGACACGGACGGTCTCCTCACGTCACAAAATATTGCACGCCAGGCCGGGGTCAGGAGGTCCTAGGAGCTATGTTTTGTGACACGGACGGACTCGTCCCGTCACAAAATCGCAGGCCGGGGTCTGGAGGTTGCCGGTCGGCCCAGCTCAGCGGGAGCAGTTTGCGAAGCCTGTCTGTGTCTCAATCCGCATGCTTCGTTTTGATATGTGTGTTGTTTATACGGAGGGGGGTCCGGCATCACGAAAAGCATGCTTCCAGCATGGCCAAACTCAAGAACGGGGCGCTGACCCCCCCGTTCTTGGGTTTGGCCATGCTGGAAGCATGCTTTTCGTGATGCCGGGCCCCCCTCCGTATAAACAACACACATATCAAAACGAAGCATGCGGATTGAGACACAGACAAGCTTCGCAAACTGCTCCCGCTGAGCTGGGCCGACCGGCAACCTCCAGACCCCGGCCTGCGATTTTGTGACGGGACGAGTCCGTCCGTGTCACAAAACATAGCTCCTAGGACCTCCTGACCCCGGCCTGGCGTGCAATATTTTGTGACGTGAGGAGTCCGTCCGTGTCACAAAATAAGCTCCTGTGTCACAAAACATAGCCCTGTGTCACAAAACATAGTTCCTGTGTCACAAAACATATCTCCTGTGTCACAAAATATTGCTCCTGGCCCTGGCCCTGGCCCTGACCCTCTGCCCTGGCCCCGGCCTGGCCTGCGATTTTGTGACGCGAGGAGTCCGTCTGTGTCACAAAATAAGCTCCTGTGTCACAAAACATAGCCCTGTGTCACAAAATATAGGTCCTGTGTCACAAAACATAGCTCCTGTGTCACAAAACATAGCTCCTGTGTCACAAAATATAGTTCCTGTGTCACAATTTATAGGTCTTCTCACCTCCTTGGCCCCGGCTTGGCCTGCGATTTTGTGACGTGAGGAGTCCGTCCGTGTCACAAAATAAGCTCCTGTGTCACAAAACATAGCCCTGTGTCACAAAACATAGCCCTGTGTCACAAAATATATCTCCTGTGTCACAAAACATAGCTCCTGTGTCACAAAACATAGCTCCTGTGTCACAAAATTTAGCTCCTGTGTCACAAAAAATAGCTCCTGAGTCACAAAACATAGCTCCTTATTCCTTATTTGCACACCGGAATCCAATATGTTTTCTATGGAATATATATCCATATAAATGTGCGAAGGTCCCTTGCTCGCGCAACTCTATTTTTCCACGTGGGATGCTACACTCCGTGCCGTCTCCCTTCAGACGGCTAAGGGGTAGGCTCAAAAATTCTGGGTCGGGAGGGCGGGACAAGTTTTCCCCGTGCCCACACTTGAGAGGAAAGTCGCCGGAGCCACACTTCATCTCACTGCCCGGAAAACTTGCAAACGTGATTCCTAATTTCAGTTTAAAACAAACATGAAATTTGTGCAAAACTGAATAAGGAGTTCATCCTTTCTGCTTCGGGAAGTTTAAAGGAGTAAACTCTTATTCCTTATTTGCACACCGGAATCCAATATGTTTTCTATGGAATATATATCCATATAAATGTGCGAAGGTCCCTTGCTCGCGCAACTCTATTTTTCCACGTGGGATGCTACACTCCGTGCCGTCTTCCTTCACCCCGATCATCTACGGCATGACCTGGTCCCACGGAATAGCACGCCTTGCAGCACCTCTTTTTAAAAGAGGCTCAAATTCCAGCCGTGAGGGATTGTCTGCTATGTTGCAAGCAGTCGGTACGCGAGCGAACCACGTCTTCAGCTGCAACGTGGTTTCAAGCTGAAGGAAAGATTCAATCACAGCATTGGCGAGTGAGCCACCGCCAAAGGTTCGGATCAGAGAATGGCGAGCACCATCATTGTCAAGATAAAACACCACTTGAGCTCCTTTCAAGCGCTCTGCCCAAATGACAAGGCTGATCAGTGCTGGAATCAACTCAAGCTCGAAAATGGGATTTGCGCTGATGCTCAAAAGCTGCTGCATCATATCGCTTGGAACTGCCTCACCGAAGAACTCGCACGGAGTACCAGAGGCATTCACAAGGACGCCTCCGACACCTCCCGTGCCTTCCTCTGGATTGCAAGCCCCGTCAGTGAAAACGATCAGTGTTGTGATGAGGTTTCGCTCGACAACTAAAGGCTGGCTCAGGGCTATTCTTTCACGAAGCCACGTCAACGCCCACATCAAATCTTCAGTAAGATTCTGAGGGGCAAACTTTTCCACGCACTTTGCAACAACTCGCTGAGCCCGGTTAGAAACCCTTCCAAAGGTGAAACCCTCGAAGAAAACCATACGACCCCTAAGGCGTTCGGCCGCCTTCGAGTCGATCTTTCCTTCCTGAAGGATGGTTTGGATGTACTCGGTGAGCTCCTCCTTTCGCTTCTGAGTATGACCCACACGAAGGATCCGCTGCTTCACACAAGACAGATCAACAGAGAGGCCGAGCATGTTGAAGTTAACTCCGAAGGGTTCGGCTTTGGAGCCGTCCTTGGCGAAGCGGAAACCAAGCAGGTCAAACAAAGTTTCCACAGTCCACTGGGCATTCGATTCCAGGCTCTTCGCAGAAACTATGCTGTAGTCATCGAAAAAGGCAGACCAGAATAGCCTGAAAAGGACTATCCGATCTTCCACAAGGCGATACTTATCCTTAGGAAAGCAGCGACCGACCCCACCCCTCCAAAGGGGAGGGCGTTTACGCCCAAGAAGCTCGGCTTGTGGTGGCCTGGCCTGTTGACAGCAATGCGTAGCCTTTCACGGTCAGCAGCACACACACCGAATTGCTTGTACGCTGCCGTAAGGTCGAAAGTTCTGCCGCAGCACTCAGGCATAACACCGGACACGACATCAAAGGCATGAGCCATCATGGCCGCAAGCTTATCTATCGTATGCAAGCAAAACTTTTCCAGCAAGCCCACTGTCGCGTTTAGGCCGCAACAAGAAAGGTCATCAATGACCCTCAATTTGTTCTGCATGATTCCGAAGCGCATAGCAATCGAGACCATCTCAGGAACCGGCCCTTCCTCAAGCCACACCCAACCTGAGTCAATCTCCTTTTGGGTTTCAACCCAGGTGGATTCTTCAATTTCGGAATCCTGCCTCCTGGACAGCTTTTGCAAGGTCGCTTTGTTCAAGCCCTTCGACAAAACTCCCAACGTCTCGACACTGAATTTGGGCCGTCTGGACCTCTGCACAAACTCACCCGACGCGGGAAGCCAGCCCGACAACTTGAAACCTTGGCATATATCAGAAACAAGGTCGACATCCTCACACCCTGCGGCTCTCATCATCTCTTGGAGAAGCAAGAGCTTCTTTCCTTTAAGTATGGGCCGCAGGTGATCAGGGAGATTTTGGTGAAGTTCCTGCTCCTTTTCCTTTAGGGCCCCTGCACGACCAATCCAAAACTTCATTGCATCAATCCTGAAGGACGCAAGTTCTGCCGGAGGAGCCTCAAAGTTAGCACGTGCACTGACGGTGACGAAAGGCTCAACATGGACTGCCAAGGACCGTGGGTGGCCTGCCGCAATAGCTCTCGCAACAAAGACCTCTTCAGAGCACGGTACACCTACTTGCACAAGCTCTGCACAAGCAGGCGGATGCAAAGGGTCCAAGCCCACGATGTTTGTTTTTGGCTTGCCAACTCCTTCGAGGAGACTCTTCAGCGAACCCCACTCACACACACGTCTCGAGAAGATTCTGGATCCCTTTGGAAGGGAAGAAAGCACAGCTTCCAACGGCTTGTCACATTGCACTGGCACAACGAAATCCAACGTAGTGTCAAACTCCCACACAAGCGAAGGCAAGGAGTTGCCCCTGGGTTGAGTGCCCAGATTGATCCGGGCGACATTCGCAGAAGGATCCTGTATTGCCTGCGCAAGCACACGTGGCCCGAAGGACAAGCTGGGATGCGCATGAACGATGCAACCAAGGATACGATCGACGAGGAGCGGGGGAAATTCGGGTTCATCTGCTGTGATGAAGCTCACCCGCTTCCTTTTCGAAATGAAAGGTCGCCACGGTTTGTGCTCGTGTGACCCGTCACAGCGACCCGCAAGCATGCCGAAAACGTCCTGTGACGACCAAAGCTGCATCAACTTGGGCCTGTGACCCCCATGCACACAGGCATGAAATTTCACAAAGTGACCCTGCACATGATTGGTCACCTGAGCACAGAAAGAAGTGTCCCAATAACGGCTGTTAGAAGGACTCTCCAAGACTGTCAGAATGCCAAGATCACAAGCCTCACATGCAATGTTTGCAAGCTGATCAAACAGTTGATTTGCACGCTCAACCTGGAGTTTATCACGACCACGCAAAGTCGGCAAGCCATCCGGATGCAACGCCGACCTCAAAGCATTTGGCATCTTCAAATCAAGTTCAACAGAACCCGGCTTACGGCGTTCACGCATGAAAGATGCGGTGCCCACCGGAGGTGAGATGAAAACACAGATGACGTGATGATACTCAACTCGCAAGAAATCGACAACTGCTTCAGCCTGAGCTGGATCACTCAAATCCATGATGACAGCTTGTTCACCAGCCCTCTTTCTAGAGGAATCAACTGCAAAAGGCCTGAAGCCTAACTTTGCAGCTGCCTTACTAAGAACGGCTGTCCCAGCACACAACTCAACGAAGTACATTCCCGCCGCCGACTGCCGGACACTGCTGGCATCACGCTGTGACGGCCTAACAGGGGAGAGGCACCTAGGGTCCCAGGAAACCACAAAAGGGCCTAAACCCAACGGAGACACAGAAAACCCGAGCCGCTCAGCGACAGCTCGTAATTCAGGCCGGAGCTCCTCGCACTGACGCACCGAATAAGCAAGCATGACAACTCTGCGACCTTTCCACGGCCTAGTCTCATGAAAATCTTTAGGCTTCGAGAAAAAGGTGGGGCCTGCGGCCACATCAAGCAGGCATCCCTCCAAAGAAGGGTCATTCAACGAAGCGACATCACCTCCAACCTTCTGAAACCAAAGTTCACCGTTCTCAAAGTCCGTCAAAGGCACCAACAATGTAGGGCCATCACGATTGTTCTCGTCGCGGTGCAAACCTGAGGCAAGATTTTCATGGACTGCAAGTGAAGAGTAACTGAATGCAGGGCACACCCGACTCACAAGCAGGTTGAAAACCTTAATAGAAAACGGGAACATGTCCATAGTCCTATGCAACCCCAAAATCCCGCCACGCCGGTAGACGCCCATGCTGAATCGGGCTCCACCCGATCCCTGAAATGCCCTAGGAGGATTTTGCGCCTCCTGAGGCAAAAGCTCCAAAAGATCCAGAGCTGCACTGGCTGTCAAGCACGACGGCTGCCGCAAGAGAAACTTCGCAAGAGCTTCAGGATCAGTGAACTGCGGCCTATTTGGGCGAGGACTAGAACCAAATTTAGGGGTATCAGGTGACACTGCCATTGGCACTTCCAGCTGACCGCTGGGCTTGGGTGAAATTTGCGCCAGGCCTTCACAAGGAGATTTCCTCGGCTCGACCTGCGACTTCATCGAGGCAAGAGCCCTCGCCTTCAACGCTTGCAACTTCTCTTGAAGAAGTGTTTTATCATTCAAGATTGACCCTTCCGCCGGTCCCCGCACCTGCTCAAGAGCACGGTACACCAACGGCTTAGTCTGCTCTCCAGCGGCTGCTGCACCAACAGTGCAGTCCTCACTGTGAGAAGAATCATGCAACACAACGGACGACAATGACTCAGATAGTCACTCTTGCGCCTTGGCTTTGCACGACACTGCTGAATGCCCCGGCCTATGACACTTCGCACAGATGTGAAGGCCGCGGACACACTTAAGCCCTCCCTTGCACTTCTCAGTCTTAAGAGAGCAGCCTGAAGCAAGATTGAAATCCCAACAAACATTTCCATCTTCTGTCCTGCAAGAGTACTGCTTCAACTCTTCTGGCACAGTCCTACGTGTGCGCGCCTTCGCCTTCGCCTTTGCTTTTGCCTTGGCCTTCCCTTTCGGGACGGGCTGGGAGGAACTCTCCGCCCCATCATCCACAGGCACTGCCAAGACAGGGGCTGTCTGCTTCGGAAGCGGCAACAGGAACTGCTGAAGACGGACATCATACATCATTGCTGAAAACTTTGCATCAAGCGGCGAAACCCCGAGCGAGTCCACCTTGAAAGGAGGCGCAGCCTCCCTGGCCAATAGCAGAAAAAGCTCCTTATCCGCACGCATGCATTGATTCAAACTGACTGGGCTATAACTCGGTGGCGGGGTTGCTGAAAGGCAATCCAGCATCTTCTGAACCCACCTCTGATGCACATCCCAAGATAGAAGGTGACAGTTGTCAAATGCTATGCCTCTTCGCATCATGGCCCACTGAAAACGCAGAGGATCCGAAACATCACAAGCGATAGCCCGGTCACCAGGCCCCACCTTTATGACGTTTTGCTCCACCTGCAACAAGGAGCTCCTATCCTTGCCCAATGCAAGGACCTCAGCTTCCCTCTTGGCACATTTCGACGCAGGGATCCAAGTAAGAACTCCGGACTCGTATTGCTGATTTGCTAAGTCAAGAAGCTGATGCGAAGGCTCAAGCTCTCCAGAAATTTCCATTCCTGAAAGTCGCCGCCTCTGGAATTCCAGCCTGGCCCGTTTTTCAGGGACCGGAACCTTCCTGGTATGCGATGGATCAGACGGGTCGTGGGTGACCATGTCCCGGTAAGTCTGAACCACTAGAGTCGTGGCTTCGAAGTGCAGATGCCGCAAGATTGCGGTTTGCCCCATGGTAGGAGCAGCTCCGTACACCTTCACACTGAATTCATCAAACTGAGCCTCCGTAGGCGGCTGCTGAGGCGACCCTATCGCGAAAGCCAATGTCTTGAAGCACCGGATGCCTTGTGCCACCAACTTGGTATGCAGAGTCGCATCCTTCGAAGCTTCAGCACATCTCTGATTAAAGGCAGCCTCGCTTTCGATCACGGTCGACATGTTGGAAACCTACGTACCCTAGCAGCGCAAACCTACAACGTGAGAAAACGCACTCAAACACCATGCAAATCTCTCACATGTTTGCATGCAACGATCTGCCATGGATCACATCTCGGGCCTCCGCGAGCAAACAAGTCAAAGCCTACTCCACGGCGTGCGCACATGCGAGCAGAAAGCATGCAACTGAAGACTCGCAAACAAGGCTCACTCTCGGTTATTAGCCGCCTCGCTCAAACGTTCTTGTTGCAAATCCTACACTTGCTGAAGTCCCACCGGAGGTCCTCTGCCCGTATCTTGACATGCAGAGATCCTATGGCCCTTCCGCAAGCGAAAACCTTAGTGTAGCCGGTAGGGGCAAAATGCACCACTCTCGACTTCTCGTGCCTCCACACATCATGACCCTCAGGAACATTCACTACCAGCTTCGAGAACGGTCCCTCAGCCTCCTCCGCGCACGAGTCGCTGGAGGAAGAGTCCGTAGTGATATGCCCGGTGGCCTCAGCGTCGAGGGCTTCCTCATCGCCTGCAAGGTTTTTAGCAGCATCATCCCCTTCGATAGGAGAGGGCGGGTCATGTTCCTCCTTTATCACAACTACCTCTGAACGCTGATGCGAGTCAGCGGCTTTGCCCACCAAGCGCCCGCTACGAGTCTCATCTGGGAGAAAAACTCGATCCCTTATCTCCTTGATCATCCGCTCCAAGATCATCAAAGGATGAGCTGCAGAATCACGGGAGTATGTCAGGGCCATGCGGTGCGGCGTCGTGTGATATCCCAACAGCTGCCTGTCGACAATACTGATTCCCCTCTTTGCCGCATAGCTCAACATGGTACACTTGCAGCTATGCGATGATAGCTTTCTGTCAGCTTGCTTCGATCCAGAACCCGTTAGCAGATGTCTCAGCCACCTGCCCATCTCCTCAGTGTCCAGCGGCCTGACACTAGCAGCACCAGACTTATCCGGCGCCGGCATGACAGGAAATTCCGGAGGATCTGGAATGTTGAGTTCCTCTCTAGCAAGCTTCCACAGCCTCGCCCAGTTGGAACCCGCAACTCCCAGGCCAGGAGCCACCATAGGAAGCAGATCATGCCGCATAACTCGGCTCCTCATATTCTTATGGTACGCCACGGGGCACTCCACATAGGCAAGATTCTTCTGGTTGTCATAATCATAAATAATTCCTTCTGCATGCATCAGGTCTGACCATCTTGCCCGCGAATATACACACAGCAAAACTGCTCCAGCGAAAACGCGGTCCCACGGGTCCTGTGTGTTCTCCAGCCGGTCGTGCAGAAGGGAGAGCTCATCCACCGTCAGCGGCGAAGCCCTGTTCCTCGGCCTCACCTCGCCACGGCACGCATTGCCAAGGCAACGCCTGCTCTTGACACATAGGTCCAGCTCCTCTACCCCCAGGACGTATCTGCAGAAAACCACTGCTTCATACGTAGCCTTTCTCGAAGATAAGCTGGCACCCCCATCCCTTTCAAGACAGAGGAACATGTAAAGCAAAATCTCGTTTGCAGGGAAAACCAGCTTCTTCTGACGAAGGAAAGCTTCATACTTCAAGAGACTCCTTAACCTCTTGCGAAGTGTGCCCGGGGCCTTTGCACCCAGCACATCGTAAGTCATGGCCTTCCTTTCATCGTCAGTGGGAAGTTCGCAAAGCTGATCCCGCACCTGCACACCTTCAGACCATCTGCCAATGAAAACAGCCCAAGCACTGACCGCTTCCAAAAGCTGTTCCTCGCGCTGCTGCTTCCACGATGCAACCACTCTGTTAACAACGGCCATCTCGAAAATTTTAGTGACGACCCTTCCCGCCCTCTGCGGGTTCTTCGAAGGTTGCTCCAAGACGCCTTCTGGGACGCCAGGCTGCAGAGGCCTCTTGAGGCCAGTTCCATAAAACCCACGGAAGGAATCCTCTGACTGAGGAGTAAAAATACTTCCCCAGAAATCATTCTCCCAGACTTGCTTTACTTGAGGAACATCCAAAGTTTGGAAAGCTGCCGCCATCGACCTGTCCAGATTTCTAGCAGAAGCAGCAGAAGAGCCTGCCGCCGCAGATGACAAGCCCCAACCAGGAGCCTCCGTCGGAAGGCTCACTGAACCCTCTGAAGGCAGAGCAGCACCATCTTCCGACAAATCAACTTTATACCAGTCTCGTTCCGCAGCGGAATTCCCACAGGACCAAACATCTTCCTCGAAAACATCTAAGTTTGCAGAAAAAGCCCCATCAACGGAGTTTATCTCCAGATGCTCCCCGCTTGCCACACCTGCGGCCTGAGAGGCATCCTCAAGGGGATCGCAAGACAAAGCATTGTCACCAGGCTGCCCCGAAGACCTTCCATCCACCCCTTTCCAAAAGAATGTCAAGGGCAGACCATCTTCGGCATCGGAAGGCTCGGCTTCCGACTGCATCAGCGGAGACCGAAATAGCGAAGCCGAAGGCGACGCGCGTCGGCAGCCGCAAAATCCGAAGTAGCCAGTAAAATGACTCGGACAGCTCTGTTGACGCAGAAAAGCTCGTAAGAAAAGTCGAGGCCCAGGAAACGCAGCACCAAGCTATTCGTACGCGAAGCGCCCAGCAAATTTTCAAGGTCCAGCCCTCGAATCTCACTGCGCCAGTCCCGGACCTCTTCTTCCTCCTCGAGAAAGAAGAGAAGAAGGCGCCGATGTGGCACCGGAGGCAGCTCGCGACGGCGCGCGGCCATCCCTAGCCCGAAGTTTTCCCCGTGCCCACACTTGAGAGGAAAGTCGCCGGAGCCACACTTCATCTCACTGCCCGGAAAACTTGCAAACGTGATTCCTAATTTCAGTTTAAAACGAACATGAAATTTGTGCAAAACTGAATAAGGAGTTCATCCTTTCTGCTTCGGGAAGTTTAAAGGAGTAAACTCTGTGTCACAAAATATAGCGTTGAGACTCATATTTTTCCAGAGCTAGGTAGCACTCACTCTTATTTCAAGATCTAAAGCACATTCAGCTTCGCTGTCGAGTGTCTCTTTGCAGAGTATCTTTAAAGCCCCGGCCTGCCTGGGAAAGGGAGCATCATGCCACAATGAGCTCAAAGGACATAGCTGTGCCCCAGGGCATTGAGCGCTAGCTCGCCACAACGAGGTATGACGATGTTGCCACAAGCTCGCAGTCGCAACAGATCTTCTGCGCTGCATTTCTTCTGCATCCAGCGGTGCAGTGGTATTTTTCCTTTGGTGTTCCACGGCTTAGCTGCCCTTTGGTGCGTGGTGTCGCAATCGAGGAAGTCGTAAAACTGATCGAGACAGGCGGTCAGTCAATGAAACTTTGCAGCACGGTTACCATACATTACCTGCTAAGCAATGAGAAATAATAAGAAATCAATGTCGACTGCAGCATGCACCTGGAACAACTCTTGCTCTCTGCCACGCTTGCAGCACAGCAGAAAAACTCTTTCACGCCAGACCTGAACATTCATGCTGCAAACTGCGTCCGAGTCTAGACATAAAACGACAAATTAATTGCGACCGAGATACACTGACACCCACCATTTTCCCAGTCACTGTTGCCCAGCGCAGCGAAAGGTCTCGTTTTGCACACTCCTGCCAGGGACTGACTCTGACGACGTTTTTCCTCATGCTTAGCCTCGCATAATAATAAATAATATGGGAACCGAAACCACGGGCAGAAACCCTGTCATGAGTCACATATTCCATCACATGCCGGAGCTTGCCGCAACGAAGATTACCGACGTTCTCGAGCACGCAGAAGAACAACCTGAGCCCACACGGGAACAGCAGCAAGTCCATGTGAGGTTCATTTGAACTCTTAATAACTTCATATCTTTTTTCGTGCACGCTTCCATCGCATGTCACTCTGGCTAGCAAACAGGGCAAGCTGCGCGTCTCAGTATCAATCCGTGGATTTCGGCCGAGACAAGAGCGAGGCTCCGAACCTCTCAGCCTACGCTCCAGACCTGGCTCTCCCTGAGCCTTCGGATCCGTTCCTTGGCACAGTAGAAATTATCCTCCCAAAGCACCTTGGGAACATTGCTAGCCGGGTCAGGCAAATAACTTTCAGCCAGCTCAATGAGCTCGCAACGGACCACCGGCTTTAGGTCAAGGCATTCCACCTCTTCCCGTGTCTGCTGAAGGAGATCTTGGCAGGCTTTGCTGCGCTTCCGGATCTGATTCTGGGTGACCCCTGTGAAAGGGATGTGCTTCTCGCTGACCCCTGGCGAAGCCATCTCTTTTTTCCCACCTTGGAGCTGAGGTGGATGGCTTGACGTAGTAGTTGGCTTGACATTGATCTTATTGTACCCCGAGGCTGCTGGCACCTCGCGCCAGGCACGTGTCATCTTGTTGAACTTGCTCGACGATTTCCCCAGCAGGCCTGGCTTGTGAGCCATGCTCAAAGGACAGTGCCTTGCTAGCGGGAGGATGCTAACAGCCGCCATGCAGGCTTGGGCCTATATAATAAGGATCAACTTGTCAAAGTGCATCTTGAGCCAAAGAAAAATAAAACCAGGTAACAATCATATGTTGAATTATTTTGAGTTCATTCATCGGCATGGAGCTGCCCAAAGCCAGAGCATGGAGACAAACTTGTTGTTCTTGCGTGGACAAAGATTCTGCTTCCTTGGATTTCGGCTGAGACAAGAGCGAGGCTCTGAACCTCTCAGCCTACTTTCGCGCCAGATTCCATGGATTTCGGCCGAAACAAAAGCGAGGCTCCAATCCTCTCCGCCTGCTTTCGCGCAGAATCAGAATCTCCTGTTTCGGCCGAGACAAGAGCGAGGCTCCGATCCTCTCAGGCTACTCTCCAAAATTCTGGCTCCCCGTCAACAGTCCACAGCCGCGAAGGCCTCCTTCATGATGTGCAAAGCCTGCACAATGAATGATGTATGTCATGCTTAATCATGCCATGTTACACACATCACACCGTAAGTTTATTTCAAATTGCTGCAATACCCTGTCATTCTCACAAGACAATGTGAAACTTTGAAAGTGCCTGAGGCCATGGGACACCCGCCGCCCACATCTTTGCGGCTGCTGCATACATACTCTGTTTGGCCGAACTTTGCCGATATCTCTGCAAATGCTTTTTGTTGGGTAACTCCTGCCGCAAAAGAAGTATGTTTGGATCCTGAGCTGAGGATGCATTCATGCGTAGCCAATCTCACATTGACATTGGATGGTTAGTATTTACTGCTTCAAAAAGAAAGCGTGGCATAGAGCCCGGGCACGGGGCGGAAAACGACCTCCGGCGTGGGCGGCCGTCCAGCAGGGCCACGACCCACAGACGGCCCAGGGGTTGCAAGAGCCTGGCTCACTGGCAGTGGCGGGGACCGAACGTCCGTCCTTTCGGCAAGGTTGGTGAGAAATCCCGCAGCATCCGTCATATGGTAGGGCTCGCTGCCTGGCTGCGGTCGCTCTCATTCATGATGAGTTGGTCCGTGTGTGAACGCAGCTGAGAAACGCAGAATTGATGCCATCTTCAGCCAGTTCTGGTTGCTTTTCTCGTCGTTGGCCCGGTCGCTGCAAAGAACTGCCGCGCTCAACTTAAATTGGGGATGACATGCGGGGAGAAAGACAAAGCTGGACTTGCAGTTCAACTTCTAACAGAACCTCAGTAGCCTGGCCTCTAGGTGCTCCTTCAGCAGCTGCCACTTGAGCCACCGCATACGGCAAATGCAGGATTGGTCTGCCCCAACGCTCGTCCGACATGTTCTGCTTGGTCCTGCAGGCAACATCACGACGGGCACTCAATGTCCACTTCTACTTCCAACTGGCAATGACAGCCGAGCAGGCTCCCCTCCCTGAATCCCACCTGAGAACCACATCAGAATCGTGGTGCGGGATCTTCGTTCCATATCCCAATTTGTTCCAGTAGCGGCAGTCCACGTCGGCACGATCAATGCCTCAGTCAGACCAATGATAATTTAATGCTGCTTTGAACAATGTTTGTGTCTGGTCCCGTCACCAAGAACACTTCACATCTTGCTGCGGTCCAAAAAACGCAGCGTGCCAATGCGATCAAATGCGAACACGTGTGGTGCGCCGGGCCCAGCTATTCCACCGAGGTGACTGTAGCAGCAAGCTAGCTGCAGTTTCATTTTCCTTTGCACGAACGTCAGTTCAAGTGGAGCACGAAATGTTACCGTAGGACCATGAATTCAAATCTACGCAGATCTTTGGCAAAAACATTAAAGCATTGGCATTCACAAATAGACTTGAAATTAACAAGTAAGTAAATAAGAACTGATTCAGTGCACACAGGGAGCCAATCTCGGACAGAGTGAACTTCAAACACCTCTCGGTCTGGCTCGTTCGGCCGGCAAGTCTCCGGGCGCAGGAACCTGAACAGAGACAAGAGCGAGGCTCTGATCCTCTCTGCCTAGTTTCCAATGAGTCTTGCTAGCCAGCAAATTCGGCCGAGACCAAGAGCGAGGCTCTGAACCTCTCAGCCTACTTGCTGGCTAGCACACATGGCAGGCAGCGCGTGTCAGAATCAATCCGTGGATTTCGGCCGAGACAAGAGCGAGGCTCCGAACCTCTCAGCCTACTCTCCAGCTTGCTGCGGCCAAAAAAACTCCCCCAAGACTTCCTTGAAGGCTGACGGCGTGGGGATGTCGCTGTGTCGCTCGATGAATGTGTTCATTGATGCGAACAGCTGGTCGATGTCCTCGTGACTGTGACCAGACATAAGGCAGCTGAGCTGCCCCCGTGCCAGCCGATGGCATGCCACAAGCAAGCTGATTGCTCTCAGAAGAGTATTGTTCTTCACTTCGCGAGTCGTGTTATCAGCTTGAAGGAAGAGCTCAGCTTGACGAAGATCCACGCGGCTGGAAACGCGGTGGAGCATGTGATAGAGGAGCTCCGTCGAGTAGGACGAATCCTTCGCCAGGCGCGGGTGGCTCAACGCCAGGCAGGCTGACTGCCCGTGCAGCAGACATCCAACCAGGTCCATGGTCGGTCGGTGCAAAGAGGAGAAGTCTTTTCCGGAGAAGACTCCTGATCTTGGGCAGGCGAACTTGCTGTGGTCTGCACCGTCCATTATGAGGCTCAATGGATACAGTCCATTGCCTTGCAAGGATCTCAGCCTGGCGAGGCCCCTCTTTTCCCAGTAGCAAGTACGGTCCTTGTACTGCAGTTTCAAGTGCTGCTCGTACTGACGGCATTGGATGTCCCTCGCCACCTCGTCTGCACCACATTTTCGAATGATGAGCTTGTGCCGTAGACACACAGAGCAAAGCGCGTGTCGGCTGACAGGTCGGATGGCCAGGCGGGTGCCAAAGGACTCGGCCCAAACCTATGACAAAGGATAAACTCCAACATGAGTTGAAGGTGCAGGTGTGCCGTGGTCATAAGGCTAAGTTAGACTATGATTCAGGATGACGTAACTAATGCATAGTAGTGATTTAAAGCGGATTGCCTGTCAGTCCACTGCCAAGCTGCTTCGTTGAACATCTTCAGGCTGATCTTGTCTTTGCCTTCTCTGCGGGCGTTGAGCAGAGCCAAGTATCCTGTGAATGTGCCAGGTGGCAGCATTTTCAATGCTGTCGTGTCCTTGCCAAAATTCATAGACACGGATTTCCGAGGACGCTTGCCTGTCCTTTTTCGAAAACGCAGACCAATTGGCACAGTGTCATTGCCATTCTGAGACTCAGTCGTCTTGGGAACCGGGCTGGCGGTGTCCCGGGCACGGTTTGCCTCGGGCATGTACTCAGCCACAGTGG